TTGAAAATGCACGCTGTCACGGCGTGCCAGCTTATTTTGATCAGGGTGTTGTTCGGCTTTGTTCCGTTTTTTAGGGGTTGATAAAGGTTGTTTTCATGACTATGCAGTTTTTTTTTCAATGGTGCTTCAACGGTTTATAAAGCTTGGTTTTGCAGGCAGTGGTCATAGGTTTCTTACATCGGCAAACATCCGCAGCCCGGTTGGTTTAGGGTTTAGGGTTTAGGGTTTAGCGTAATTCACATAACCTCTAATCAACTCTAATCTCCGTCGGATACTTGCCGGTTAAAAGTTGCAGGTTCGGCGGACACTCTCTACCCCCGCAAAGGTTCATTACACAGGCTTGACCCATTGATAAAATCATCATCTGAAAAAACGCAAAAACAGACCCCCTGGGCAATTAATAGCAACAACCCTGAGAAATAGCTTGCACGAGCGTGTACTATCCTCAAAGAGCCGAGAGCGCTTTAGGGGTTGGCGTTGAGGGTCTTTTTGTTGTGGAGTGTTAGCGAGTTTCATGTTTACGGGTTCATTAGGGGTTATCAGGTTGGGTTGGCTTGGCTATGGGGGGTTGCTCCGTTCAAAAGATGCGTATCTGCATCTAAATATCACTCCTGTAGAGCAGTTGAGAACTCGGACTTGGAACTTAGAGTCCTAGAACAGCAGACGGTGGCGATAGTAGCAGGAATGGAGTATTCACTTTAGTTGTGCATCATGAAGCGGCCAATGTGCAAGTACTGTTCCCCTACGTTTTGCTAATCCTACGGCTTTGTTGGTATGTTCCTGTTGACTCTTGTAAGACGCCCCGGCCTGTCTTTTGTGTGCTGTTCGTGTACTGAATGGTACTGCTATGCTGCTGTTGCTCCTCCTCCTCCTCCTGGAGTCATTCCTCCTATTTCTCCTCCTACTCCGCCTCCTGTTACAACTTCTATTGCGAATCAAATTTTTTGCAAGCTCAGTAAATCCCAGTCGCAACCTTTCATCAATTGGGTTACCCCTAAACCACAAACCCTAAACCCTAAACCCTAAACCCCAAAAACCGTGGCTGGTTCTGCCGAGCACATGGCACCGGAATTTGTCCGGAGTTCCCGACTGCTAACTGCTAACGCCACAGACGTCAAGCCTTGCCAAGGCTGCCCCCCATGCAGGGTTTGGGGTTTAGGGTTTAGGATTTAGGGTTTAGGGTTTAGGGTTTAGGGATATTCAGGGTTTTGGGTGTACTTGAGGGGTCCTTTGCCAGGATTCTAGAAAGAACTAGGGTTTCAGGGTGCAGCTTAGCGGAAACCTGAAGCTATAAATCCCAAACCTTCAAACCCCAACATCATAACACCTTGGAGTCGTAATGGAAACGCACAGTCCTTTATTTAGCTCCTTTTGTAGAAATGGGGATTACCACCGTGATCCTTAAAACTGGGTTTTGAATCGGCCTGTTGTAGATTTAGAGGGGCTTCCTCTTAACCCGAAGCACTGTAGACTCTAAATGCACGGGCTTAAGAATGTGAGCAAGATCATCGGGCAGTCTTGCGCATCGCTGACGAATCAAGCCGATGTCTCAGCGCTAGAGGCACTGCAAAAAAGGAGCTACTGCGTGGGTTTAGGGTTTAGGGTATGTCACCCTAAACCCTAAACCCCAAACCCTACACCCAAAGCCCTAAATCCGCAGATCCCACATCCCTTCAGTCAGGTCTCCGGTGGAGCATGTTCGGCAGTGAGCGCACACCTCCGAGGTTATGGGGTCTGATGGTTTTCCACGATTTTTGTTTGTGCACTTCGTCCTCTCTCTCCGAGATCCCCATTACATCGGATAGTTAACCCTACTCACCGTGAACAAACAGATGCAGCAGATGCATATTCCTAGTTCCCTGGAATACCCAACCTTGAAACTTTTGGGTTTTTATAATTAAGTAGTAACCTGAAGGTTCAACCTTGTATTTCCCTGCCTTATTGGGGGGCTTAAGTGTCCTTTCTGTCCCTAGATAACTGTACTATTCATTCTGTCATTCTGACATGAACCCTAAACCCTAAACCCTAAACCCTAAACCCTAAACCCTAAACCCTAAACCCCTAAACCCCTAAACCCCTAAACCCCTAAACCCTAAACCCTAAACCCTACGTCTATTGCTTGGTGAACGAGGCGGCAAGGCCTGAATCCTCATAAAATTGATGTGGGCAGTCCCGGCTCGGTTTAAGGTTTTAGGATTTTAGGGTTTAGGGTTTTAGGGTTTTAGGGTTTAGGGTTTAGGATTTTAGGGTTTTAGGGTTTAGGGTTTAGGGTTTTAGGATTTAGGGTTTTAGGGTTCGAGGGCTAGAGGTGGTTGAACGGCGGAGGGTCAGGCGGTTTGGGTTTAGGGGTTTAGGGGTTTCGGGGCGTACTTGGAGGGTCGGG